ATAGTCTTCCACTCATCAGGGTGGTTCTTCATTAGTTGCTTTATGTGGATCCATTCAATTCCTTCCCCGTTGCCTTTGCATTGAGTCCGGTCAATTACCCATTTCTCGTCCACTCCTGCAACTCTGGCCAATGTATTCTTGAAAGGCTGACTTTTGATGTGTTTAATGTAGGCTCGCTCTAGTTTGTTGTTTTCACAGTGCAACAGTGTAGTGTACTCTTCAATGGTAGGCACCATGTCCTCTTAGTTAAAAGTGAAGCAACTATATCCCGTGTTCCAAAATTGAACCAAGGCTCTGATTAAGGGCTCATCAGTCTTAACGTGGAGTAAAAGTGCAATGTCGTCGTACCGTTGGCTGAACTTTTGTTTCCGATCATTCTTCAAACTGTCCCAGAAGTCCCAAAACTCTTGCACATTGTTCTGTTTTAGGCTAATAGAGGCGTAACTAACCAGTTCTAACACAGCTTCCTCGAAGACTGTCTCCCTTTTCCTTCTGAGTCTTCTCGGACCATAGTCGTACCTCGGGGTTTTCAATCTCTTGTATTACAACACCTTTGTCCATTAGTTCAGATTATTTTGTGTGTAACAAACACCTTTTTAGGGATCAATGGCCTCTTGTGATGATGTAAATGCTAAGAAAACAAAATAAAGGCAAAAAGTTAGTAAAATAAATAAATAAATAAAATGTCAAAAGAAAGAAAGAAGAGTAAGAGGAAAAAACATCATGGTTAGGGTAAAAATGTCATAGGGTTTGAAATGGGGTTTCAGGGTAGGCTCAATTTCTTCATAGTCTCTCGGTTTAGGTTCTAAAAGTGGTACCCGAGTTCTCCTTATCGGCGTCCCCTTGGGCTTGCCAGACCCTTAGTCCTAAACCCATCATAGGCTTGTGTGGACCAAGTTAAACTCGATAGGACACATTCCCTTATGCCCATACGGAGAATAAATTCACATAAAGGCATAAGGTATATGAATCCCGAAGGCTACTTGCTAGGCTCATACGGTGAATAAATTGACACGAAGGCGTCACTTTCACCTCCACTTAAAATGGGTTTGGAGCTCGGGTTTAGAGCCTTAGATGAAAAATCTTTGGGGGTTGAAATCATTAGAAAACAGTTAGTACAACTATTTACTCGAAAAATATAATCAAAAGTAAGCAATAAGGATCGAAATGTTACCTTAAAATTTAAACTTAACCTTTTCGTTAAAAATACAACTGGAAATTACCTTAGCCTGACCCACTTACCTGTGTCCCCAGCAGAGTCGCCAAGCTATCGAAACCGTCTTTCGGTTGGGCCCCGGAATTGGGCTTCGACTTGAAATAATGGGTTAGGAGTCACCACCAATCATTTATTTTACGAAAAATAGGTTGATTGGATACTTTAATTCTTACCTGATCTGCGTCTTACCAAAGATGTGTCAGATTCGGGAGTCGGTTACAGTCAAGGAAGGGTTAGCACCCTTGAACTGCCCTTTTGGTACTACGTAATTTCCAGTTGTCTTAGGTTAAGAAAATTGAAAGTTAAATTAAAAAGGTAAAATATCGATCCAAATTACTTACCTCTAATAAATTTGAATGAAGACTCTTAAGAAGAAAACGTTAAATTTGGAGTGATGAAAGTAAATAAGATAAAAACAACTACAAAACCAATGATACAAATAAGAAGAGACAATAAAAAATAAACTAATGATAAATAAGATACATAAAAGAAAAGAAATAAAGGGAAAAAAAATAAAAAAACATATACTAAATGAATAAATAAATATATATATATATATGCATGGATAGTAATAAAAGAAAAAAACAAACATAAAGGCAAAGGAATGAAAATTATATAAAAACAAAGAAATAAAAATAAGACATACATTAGATAAATAAAAAACAAAGGAAAAAAATAAACACAATAAAATAGATAAGTAAAGTAAATGAAATAAATAAATAAAAAGAATAAAAAAATAAAAATAAAAATATATATGTATATGTATATACGTTTAAAAATAATAATAGTAATAGAAATAATGTTAGCTATAAATATTTATATATATATATATAATAAAATAAAAATGATGTATATAAAATATATATGTATACGGGAATAAAATATAAAAGTATAATAATAATGAAAATATAATATATAATAATAGTAGGGATTAAATTAGAACATAAGCAAAATTAAGGAATAAATTTGCAAAGACAATTGAAGATTATATTCGATTTAGGATGAAAATGAACTTTTAAAACTCATGGGGACCAGAATGGGATTTAACCCATTTTCATTTAAAAACACGCGGATCCCCTAGGGGATCCGTTCGGGTCGGGTTGGTATATAAGCCAATGCTTTGGCTTTAATCCTAATTTTTTCCTTCTAAAAAACGAAAGCCCTCCCCCTTTAAAATTTTTCTCTCTACATGTTCATCCCAGTGGATGAACCTAGGCTATAATTTCCAGAACTCGGCCCTCGGTCGCCCCAAGTCGCCTCGTCGCCGCTGGCCGTCGATCATCGACGGTAAAAAATTTGAAAAAATTCCTTTTTCCGAAGCTCTCTTCCTCCACTTCTCAAAAATCAAAGTTTTTTTTTAAAAACCAAGCTTTAGGGAAGAGTAGATCTAAGAAATATTTTTTGAAAATAAGGGCCCCACTTTGTTCATCAGCCAACATTTTGTTTTTTCGAGCAAATATAACAAGGCAACCACGCGTGCAAGGAAGAATCAGTCAAACTAAAGGAAAAAAAAGGTATTACCTTTCTTTATTTCTTTCTTTTCGAATGTTTACAAGCCTTGGATCATGTGTATTTCGAGTATTTCATGTGCAATCTCTAGGTATTTTTTTCGTGTGTGTGAGTGTTCTAGTTACATGGGATTTATAGCCTAGGATTTTAGAGTTTGATTCCTATTAGTACTCTAACTCTGTTATTTGTTGGTGGTGTCCCTTGCGCCGGAGATCTCGGGGCTGTTGGAGACGAGTCATACGGCCACGAAACTCTGAGAGGAAGGCGTGGGAAAGTCTCTTTGGATGTTGTAGTGCTAGTTGGAACGAATGATAGGGTTAGGGTTGTAAAACCCTAACTAATTTGGGTTGAGATTGGACCAGTTTGGGTGCTTCTACTGGGCCAAATGTAATTTTGGGCTTGATATAAAAATGAGACAAATGTAAAATGTATTAATTTAATAAAATAATAATAATATTTATACAATATATATATATATAATATAATATATAAATATATGTTTATTTTGGTCATAAAAAGCGTCTACAGACTGTAAATGAAAGATAGATTGTAAATTATTTGAGATTGATTCGATCAAAGTTCAGTCAGTATTTTCATTATTTGACCAAATCCTCTAAGGAGTTGAAGCAAAAATTAAAGAGCTTAAGGTAAAACTTGAAGAAGATAGTCACTATTTTCAGAATATGCTTCCACTGCGCACTCAGACATTCAACATTTTTTAGATCAATAATTTTTTCATTTAAATTCCTTATCAATCACACATAACCTATTTAGGGTTCTGGAGTTTGTTTTACCTCTATGCTGAGCATGCATTGCGTTAACTGCCGATAATTCATACGTTAAAATGGAAAGGATGATTGTGAGAAGGAAATAAATTAAAGCATGAAAAAGAATGTGCATGTTTGGAGTACTGGAGGAGAGACGACATGTTACCCTACCACATATTTTCTCCAGCATTTTTGCTTCATACTTGAAATGCTTCAAGCTTTTGTGCAACAACTATAATCACAGGCAATAAGACAACCTAATAGGAAGACAGAAACAGCCTCAGATAATGAGGAAAAAGGAGAAGAGAGAGAGAGAGAGAGAGAGAGAGAGAGAGAGACAAAGATAAACACAACATACTCTGCACACTCATCACTATCAGTTAACACAGATAACTCAGGAGTATTGGAATGTCTGACTCTAATTATATTCTTTTTCATTGAATTAGACAGTTGTTTAACCCCACAAGAGTTCATTGCACGTATAAAATACCACAAACCATGAAAATTTTGTGAGGAAATCGTTGAAGCAATCAAACAAGAAATAGAAACGATAATAAAAACAGTAAAAAAGAACACAGAATAAAACAGGATGAATCAGAAAAGAGTGAATATATAGAAATTTCAATAATAACGCAATCACCTAATTCAAGTCTTTGTTCGAGACAGACAAATGCAAAACTTACGAATGAAGGGGACATAACTCATATGGTAGAGTGCTTACTTAGCACGCGAGAGGTATGAGGATTGATACCCCATCTCCACTGTTCCTTATCTTGTCTTTTTTCTTAGCAGCAAAATGGGTTTATAGCGGCGTTTTTTGAACAAATGCCGCAAAAGATCTTAATTTAGTGACGTTTGTATATAAACACCGCTAAAGACTAGTATTGTAGTGGCATTTTTATACGCTTTAGACTCGTACTTTAGTGTCATTTTTATACAAACACCACTAAAGACTCGTACTTTAGTAGCGTTTTTTGTACAAACGATGCTAAAGACTCGTACTTCAGTGGCTTTTTATACAAATGTCGATATAACTCGTACTTTAGTGGCTTTTTTATACAAACGCTGATATGGACTCGTACTTTAGTGGCACTTTTGTTTACAAATGCCGTTATAGACTCATCTTTAGTGGCGTTTTTATACAAACGTCGCTAAAGACTCGTACTTTAATGGCGTTTGTGTTTACAAACACCGCAAATTTACAGTTTCTAAGTCCTCTTTAATCCTTTTTAATGTTTCCCCTTCACCTATTTTTTCATTCCCGCCGTTTACCCAAACCCATCTGCTGCTTCTTCTCCAATGGAGGGCTCTTTTTCTCAATGCTTCGTTCAAACAAATTCTCGCTACAAAAAGGTTGCAAATGCAAAGCTGTCTTCAGTCTAGAATTGTTTGGCATGACATTATCGAAAAACATTGCCCGATCTTTGTTGTTAATCGCGAGGTATTTTTTCTTCTTCTTCCACCTCAATTTTTTGCGATGATTTGCATATAGATAAAGTACCTTTCTGTTTTCCTTTTTAGTCTGGGAATTTTACAAAGTTCTTTAAAAATATATTGCTACCCACATGGGATTGGTTCCAATTGGGAAACCCAGAATCACAGTTCTCAAAAAGCAGTAACAGCTGCAACAATGTCAAACATGGATTCAAAATTGGGTTTAATCCAACAATCTTTCAACTCTCGTTATTCCGAATGGGTCCGAGAAGCTCTTGACGAATTGTCCGATAATTTCACCATCACGGATCCTTCGATTTCAGGCCACCAAATCGTTTTCGCAAGCCGAAACTTCTTGAAAATGTTGCGTTATTCCCAGGAAGAAGTAGTCGGTCAAAATGGGAATATATTTCATGGTCCCAAAACTAATCGGAGGATGGTGATGGGGATAAGAGAAGCGATTCGAGAAGAGATGGGTATTCAAGTGAATTTGGTGAATTACTGTAAAGACGGGATGTCGTTTTGGATGTTGTTCCATATGAGTCCCGTTTTTTGGGAAAGAAAGTGGGAGGTGATTCATTTTATGGCTGTTCAGGTCCTGATAACAAGGCGACAAAGGGGGAATGGTGGGGTGAGCTTAAGTGAGGAGGCCTCTGACTTGAATGAGATTATGTTAGACTCTTGTAGGAATGAAGTGGATACCAATTTTGTGCTTGAATTGGGTCGTGTTTTGTCCTCAGATTCGAGTGGTAATGGTTCATTTTCTCAGCTTCAACTTTTATATTGTAGCCATTATTGAATGATCAATTGCAGTACTAACTAAATATTTTCATTCATTGTGCTTTTACTAGTATATTTGTTATCAACTGTTCATGCAATGTGGAAACATGTTCATAAATAGAAGGTATAACAAGTATGTTGAGTGTCATTATCAAATGCAATTCACAATTTTATTTCAAGTAACTTTTTTGACCTTCTGGATTGAGTTTTGGTTATATGCTACTTGATGTTTCACTCTTTATTTCGATGATAATAATTGAAACTATATTATCATCTTTCATTGCAGTTGGATTTAGTTGTTTTGAGTTCTTATCTAAGTGTATTTTACAGTATTAAATGTTGAAGAGACATGCGAGGCAAGCGATTTTGAGAAGCGAAGGGCAGCGAATGTATTTAACAGCATCTTGTCCGTGCTAACCCACTATAGTGAGTTAACTGGCAGATTGGTCTGTGGGAAGAGATGCAGTGTGTCTGGGGTAGGTTACATCAGTTCATCACTAAATATATCACTTGGTATAATCAAACAGAGCTTTGTACTGTGAGTTTGCAAAATTCTTTATTTTCAATTTTATATTGATAACCAACTTTAGCAGGGATTTTTGATATCTCTTACAAGAACTACACGGTGGGTGGTTCCCTCGGCTGGTTTGACACCTTTGAAAAGCCTGATGTCAATTACCAGAAATGGGTGGATTCTAACAACTTCAGCTTGGGTGATTTCCTCGGTAAGTCCTTTTTATATATTTTTTTCTTTGGATCATATGATGCAAATCTATGGATTTTTATTATATCCGTCAATAGTTACAACCAAATAAGGAAATGTTTTGAAAAGTAAAGGGATTCATCGGTTATGTCGTTTCTTGACAATTTGAATTAGCAATAAAATCTGGGATTCATTACAGCAAAACAGGTTTTTTGCGGCGTTTTTTTACCTTTAGCGGCGTTATAAGCACCGCTAAAAACACATGAGGCGTTAAGACAAATGCTGCAAAAACCGCAGTTAAAAATAGCACCGCTAAAGTTCGCGGCATTTTTAAACAAAAAATGCCGCAATAGGTATTGATATTTAGCGGCGTGCGGTGTTGATATTTAGTGGCGTTTTTAGGATAAACGCCGCAAGAGGTGTTGATATTTAGCGGCGTTTTTTTAGATAAACGCCGCAATAGGTTATGATGTTTAGCGGCGTTTTTCTCTAAAACGTCGCAGTAGGTTTTGATGTTTTGTGGCGTTTTTCTCACAAACGCCGCAGTAGGTATTGATTTTTTGCGGCGTTTTTGCAAAAACACCGGTAAAGGTCTGTATATAGCGGCGTTTCTAGGATACAAACGACGCTAAATGTATGGTATATTGTGGCGCTTTTTGTTACAAACGCCGCTAAATAACACAGAATTAACATTCCTAAAAATTATGCTTGATTACCCCAAAACTATTTTTTCAACCTGTTCCATTATCCAATAAACAAAACAATAATAACATCAAACTCTATATCCATAACAAACAACATCAAATACAATATAATAATTAAAAGTTTTCATTAACGTAATATAAGTTCAGTTAAACAAGGTTCAGTAGAATGCTCATAACATAAATGAGACTACGATGGTGGATTTTGAGGTTGCATTTTCTGAATCATCAGCATCATATCATTGAGTCGTTTTTCAAATTCTTCACATCTCTGCTGATATACTGCTTCTCTCTGTGCTGCCGCTGCTTCTCTCTGTGTTACCACTGCTTCTCTCTGTGTTACCGCTGCTTTTTTCTCTGCTTCCGCTGCTGCTCTGGCTGCATCTGTTGCTGCTCTCTCTGCTTCCCTTGCTTCATTTTCTGCTTTCAAGTTAGCCATTTGTTGATCCATCTCAGCCAACTTTTCTTTTAAACGACAAACTTCTTGGTGGGAAGATCGAGACTGTGATGACATGTACTGTGATTATCTGGATCCAAAATATTTGGTGGGAGTAACGAATGATCCTTGAAAACGCACCCGACCATATCTTTCAGGACCCAAAACGTCATTAATAGCTTGGTTTTCAATGTCATCATCATTAACAATACCTTGACTCGAAGCAGTAACATGTTACTCCGCCTTTTTCTCCCTCAATTTTTCCTTATAAAGTGAATAATTAATTAAAATAAAAAATGTCATTGTACAAATATAAATAAAGTCAGGTACATTTAAAACATCTACCCAAAAAACGTACCATGATTTCTGCAGCATCATCAGTCATAGGAGTGTCATCCTTCTTCGTATGTGTCATGTCGAAGAGTTGGATTCAACCAACTTTAGAACCGGATGTATTTTCCTACAATGTACCATAATATAATTACTATGAGTTAGTATGTACATGGAAAGGAAAAAACTATTTCAATAATCTATAATACCTCCTCATGAGCTATACAAGCAAAACTCTTCGATCCAGCCATGTGCGTATACTTTTGTTGTTGCCTGCTAGCAACACCAATATGCTCTCGGTCCTACAATGTCAAACAACAACTTTTAATGATGATTTACAATTCGTTACAATTATTTCTGAAAAATACATCATACCTGTCCTTTTTGTGAACTCCAAAATCTGGCTGCATCTTCCCATTGGTACCTGAGCATTCCTGGTGGGACTGTTTGCAACTTCTCTTCAAGGCTGAGATCATTCTTGAAGTATTTCTTCTTTAAGGAGCTCTTGTGATCCCTTCATCTCTTCCCTAACGTTTGCTTCACATAATCATCAGAGACCTCTAAAGAAAATTTCTCCTATACAGCAAATAAGTGTGCACCGTAAGTATAAATTAGTATTGAATTTCTATAGAGTATGTATTATATTGACATTATTACCTTAACAAAATCCAATGCTTGATTTTTGTTACTATTAGGCATTTCGCGCCATGTCTCGTAATTTATCGGTAACAGATTCGCATTACGTCCAACTATGCCTAAGTAACCTGCTAGAAGACGTGATTCTGGGCCAATAGGTTGACCAACATCGTTTATTGAAACTTTGACACGATGCCCAGGAGGAAGTTGGTATAATTCCTTCAAAGTTGTATGTCCTCGAGTCTTGCGCGTTCCAGTATTTTCAACTATATAAGAAATTATTAACTGCCAGTTTTGAAAATGAACAAAGTAGTAAATAATGTTTCGAAGATTACTTTGAATTTCTACGTCTTCTTCAACAGTTTCCGGAACTTCGGAAGACTCAGGTGCATTCGATTCCTCGTTATTTCTTTCTTCATGGTCTTCAGAAGCTCGAACAACCCGCAAATCATTTATTTTTCTCCTCGGCATGATATCTATAATAAACAAACATGAGTAATAAAAAAATGAATTAATTAATGAATATATTGAAAGACAACATGTTAAAGGTTATAACATTATAAATAAATAAATTAAGATATAAAATCGTACAAAAGTCTTATATAATGTCAGTTGTCATAAATATCTTCATCAATGTCCTCCCGAACCCATTGAAATTGTGTTGATTACTGATAGTTTCATCTAAGTTTTATGGTAGTAGAGGTAAACTTTCTGATCTTGTTTTAATGTCGTCTCTACTTCCATCTCCGATGTCTATAAAGTCTCTGGGAGTATTTCGAAGCACAACATACCAACCGTCATCCATTGGATCGTAACAATAAAATACTTGTTTCACTTGAGAAGAAAATACATATGGTTCATCCATCAAAACGTTGACCCGTGTGAATTAATCGAGAGAAATTCACCATTGTAAACCCGAATTTATCTCTTTTTATACATCTATTTACATCAACCCAGTCACACCGAAACAAACACAACCTTTCGTTTTCCATAATAATCTAACTCAGTAATGTTCGTAAGATTTCCATAATTTCGACCTCTCCCTCCTGCGGATTATTGTCCCTTACAGTAGCATAACTTATAGTTGACGAAGTAACTACTACTCCACAATTTTGTGTCCTTCTTAATCTTTCACGAGATTTCGTGTGGAGCCTGAACCCATTAATGAGGAAGGCGTTATATATTTTAACTATTCTATTCGGACCTTGAGAAAGCAATTTAACTTCTTCACTAACTTCTTTCCCACTCCAAACCTATTACACATGAATGGTGAATTAATTTGTATTGACGTTGATATAAAAAGCAAGACATATATAATTTATAAGTGTTCTATAAGATTTAGTTGCTTACCATCTAGCCTAACCATTCATGAAAGGTTTCTGTGAATAACTTATGTAGCTCTCGCTGATTTAATCTTCGGGAGCATGCTCGAGATCTCAATACTTCTTTAAACTCACTATAAAGAATATTATGTCGTTAAAAATTGATAAATATAAAAGATAAAGAGATTTCATTAGGATTGGGTCCGAAGGACTTACGTGCGAAAGGGATATATTGAATCGTGATGGAAAAGAACATATCGGTGTGCTTGTACCCGAGACGTGTCATCTAAGTGTGCAATTTCAACTTTCCCTAATGGTTGACCATAACTTCCAAAGAAATAATGTTGAGGTAAGTCATCAGTACTTAACACATCATTTCGATTTGGTCTATTCCATCTTGTTTCAACATCTTCCAAATATCTAGAGCAAAATGTCATACATTCCTCTGCCAAATACCCTTCAACAATTGATCCTTCCGGATAACGCTTATTACGACAATAAGACTTCAACTTGCCCAAGAACCTATACATAAAACAACATACTACGTAAATACATTTGAGTGAGAGGTATAATCAATAGTAATTTGAAACGTGTAATTCAAATAACACCTCTCTATAGGGTACATCCATCGATAGAAAACTGGACCACCAACTCTTGCTTCGTGAGGAAGATGAATTAGCAAATGCACCATAATTGTGAAGAATAAAGGTGGAAATATCTTCTCCAAGTTGCATAAAGTCAAGGTGACTCAATCTTGTAGTTTATCAAGTTCTTCAACCATTAGAACTTTCCCACAGATGGCTTTTATTATATTAGAAAGTTCAATGATACAAGACGTCACCTTACTCGACATGCAAACGTGAACAACTACTGGCAGTAAATATTGCATTAATATGTGATAATCATGTGACTTTAAACCATAAAGTCTTCGATCTTTAACACTGACACATCGAGAAATGTTTGATGAATACCTATCTGGGACTTTTATAACCTTCAACACCGTGCAAAACACTTCTTTTTCTTTCTTCGAAAGAGAAAAAATAGAAGGCGGCAAGAAATTTCTTCCATTTGGACGTAATTGCTGATGAAGATCATGCCGAATTCCCATGTCCACTAAGTCAAGTCAACTCTTAAGATTATCTTTAGATTTTCTGCCATTATTCAGAATGGTCCCGATAATATTCTCACAAACATTCTTCTCAATATGCATTACATCAAGATTATGTCTCAAAATCTGCTTTTTCCAATAAGGCAACTCGAAAAATATACTCCTATTTTTCCACAAGTCTACCTCGTTTGGATCATCCTCATCATCAGACTCATCATCAGTTTTTTCGTCAACTTCAACCTCTTCATTAACTTGCTTTGCCTTTTTCTTTGATTGTGCACTACTTGGTTGATTCATCTTTCCAAAAGTAAAATTGATATTTTTCAACATTCTGAATAT